CAAGAGATTAGGGTGTAGAGGTGTTGGTGTGTGACATTCATTAAATAGCATGTCTAAATATACATTAAACATCATTTTAAGAAAATACATATAATACCTCAATTTCTTCAGATGTTTTCTATCATGCTCTAACTTGGAATCATTACAGGCTGCATGGGCACGCCTCTTTCTGCTCAGTGGCGAAAGATTTTGACTAAAATTTGATTTATATTTCTCTTCTCTATGATAAAATTCTTTTCTACTGGGAAGATTTCCAATATTCACTGTTGGATTATCAGTATATAGACTTCTACTTTCTAATTCAATATTTAAATGCTCTAATTTCAGAAGATACTGAATTTGTTTATCAATTTCCTCACGATCAGCACGCAATAATTCCCTTTGCTTCTGTAGCTTCTCCCGTTGCGCACTAAGCTCTTCAATAAAATGATTTATCTCAGACCACTCAGTCTGTCTCTGCTCTCGGTCACGGGCAATCTCCATCCTCTCATTTTCAAGTTGCTTCAACTCTAATGCAGCATGTTTCAACTGTTTCGCAATCTCTTCTTTCCGAGATGCAATACTCTGAAGCTCTTTGCTCTTTTCCTTCTCAAATGCTTCCTCTTTTTCTCTCAAATAATTTTCAACTTCCTCTCTCCTTCTACAAATACTGTTTTCCAACTCTTTCCTCTGAATCTCAAAATCATTAAGAAAATCTTCTTTTTCTTTATTAAACTTGACAAACCAATCTGAATGTTCGCGCTCCATCTTTCTCAAGAAGTCATCCCGCTCGTGAGACAAGGATTCAGCATTTTGCTTCAACTGATTGCGCAAGTTCTCCTTCTCGGCATTTAAACTGTCAAGTTCCTTCCTGAGGTACATGTCAACAGTTCTTCTCTCTTCAACTATTTGATCAGCTTCTTTCCTCAACTCCTCGCGTTTTTCATCAATTAGGTTCCATTCTATTTCAAATTTCTCTAGGTACATGTCAACAGTTCTTCTCTCTTCAACTATTCGATCAGCTTCTTTCCTCAACTCCTCGTGTTTGTCATCAATTAGGTTCCATTCTATTTCAAATTTCTCCTTTTCTGACTTCAATTTTTCCGCTCCAACTTCAAGTTCCAACTTTTGAGATCTAAAGCTATCAATCACTTCTTTCAATTTTCTTTCGAATACAAGCAGCTCATTTCTCTCATTAGCAGAGATAGCTAGTTTCTCCTCTGCACGAAGAAGTTGCATCTTCTCATCTTCAAGTGTAATCTTCTCTTTACGAAGTTCTTCATGCATCTTATTAATTTCCTCCTTTTCTTTTTGTACGTTCTGCATCTTTGATTCGAGAGATTTTTCTGTAAGAAGTACAGATTTCTCTTTTTCCTCTAAAAGCTGGAGTTTCTTCATTACATCCTCCTGCTTGTCTGAAATGGCATGGAGATCAGTTTTAACTGAATTTTCCATCTTCATAATTTGTTGCTCTTTCTGCTTGAGCTCAAACTCCCAGGCACTGCAGTCTTTAATTTTCACTTCTATCTCATCCTCTAACGATTTCCTTCTCTGCTCCATTTCAGCTTCAAACTCACAAGTTTTCCTTTCAAAATTACGTTGATATTCGGCTTTGAGCCTTTGCATCTCATCCTAAATGATTAAAAATGGTGAAGCATTAAATATTGCAAAATGAAGAATATTTGGACAACAGAAATACGAAAAGGTTCTAAATACTCACAAATTCTTTATTAGAAATCTTTTCCTGTAATATAAGCAATTCCCTTTCCTTTTTGTCAAGTAGAGCTTCCCTTTTAAGGACAGCCTGAAAACACAGAAACCCGCAGCAGTTGATCATAAAAAACATTTAACAACACCGAAAAAATGTCGTTTTGCAACAGATAGAGCAACACAAACCTCTTCTCCTGCTGCAAAAGCAGACACATCAAGCTCCAACTTAACCTTTCCCTCCCCTAAAATTGATGAATCTTCTTCGAATTTCAATCTTGCTTCTGCCAATTCTTTCTCAGCACGGCTTATTTCATTCAATCTTCCATAGAGATGCTCTTCCCTTCGATTGAGCAGGCTTTGCCCTTCCATTAATCTCTCTTGCTCTTGACGCAATATCTTATGGCTGTCATTCAGAGATTGCCTCTGAAGACTGAGCTCCTTCTCTTTGGCCTCACAACTACGATATAATTGATTGCAGAAAAAGAAATAAAGAGATCAATTGCAAGAAGATCCATAGTTACAAAAACATCATGTTGTAGCAGCAAGATAACAATCTTTTTTACTAGCAACTTAGTGATATTTAACTAGCGTACATAATGGCAAATAAAGAACAATATGAAAACATGTGCTTTCAAAAGTGGCGTAGGGATATGTGAGAAAACTGGGATGTCTCTCAAGAGACTCATTGGTGTATGCAGATTCCACTCTGTTGCCAAGTAAATTGGTCAAGATCTCGGCTTAAAAAATTCAAGTGGGAACACCCTTCAAATGTAATTATCCCTCCGTAATGGAAGAGAACTATCTGTATGCAGATTCCACTCTGTTGCCAAGTAAATTGGCCAAAATCTCAGGTTAAAAAATTCAAATGGGAACACCCTTCAAATTTAATTATCCCTCCGTAATGGAAGAGAACTATCCATTAAAGATGGTACACGGATATACTTCATAAGGAAGTGTTAAGGCAAAAATATTCCTCATGCCAGAGAAGAAAGGTTATTGGGGTGACATACGTCCTATCAATATTCCATAGTTACAACATCCAAGGTTTTACAAACCAATAAAAGAATCTAGGAGCAATGATTGTGATGTTTTAGATTCAAGTTAGGCAACTACACGCTGCACGTACTTGTTATTTAAAATTTTGAAAGCAAATGCACAAAGTCACCACTCCCACTAGCAAACCACACGAAAATGAAAGCTATTGGCCACAAGTCACTCCACAAGTTAAATAACATTGTTCAACTCCTTATTTAAACCCATGCGGTATATTTTGATTAAAGAATGTGAAGATTTGATCCAATCAGGAAAATTAATTTGGTTCAGGATTTGTTTATAAAATTTTCTAGGTAATGCAGCATTATTATAATTCTAATGAAAATTTAGTACAAATATCTAACCCCATAGTCTAGTAAAACCCAAAGGATAAACATTTGGTTAAAGATAACATCCAAAAAGAAGCTATTTTTTAGCCTACAATGAAGTTCCTACACTTTCCAAATCAACCTCTTACCAAATTTTTCATGCAATTCTGGCTAGCTCTAAGTAAAAAACTACAAGGAAAAAGATTTATTACACATTGAAAATAAGTATTGCATTTAATTAATACTCGACAAGTGAACAATAAAAGGAGGAAAAAGAATATTGAATATGCTCATAGATTAACCTACTCAGAGTGGAAAGAAACAGTTCGTCTTCTAAGTTCATCTTCACGAGCCTCTACATCCTGTAAGGTTCTTAGAGCAGCATTCTGACGACGCCTTCCTTCTGCTTGAGCAGCCTCTAACTCATGCGTTTTGGACTTTGCCTCATCAAACATCTTTTGTGCAGTTTGCATCATTGATTGAGCTTCAGTCAACTTACTTTCATAAGCAACTTTAATTTCAGCAGACTCAGCACGCATTTCATGCAAGGTCTTCTCAATCTACCAAACAAGAAAAGAAACTAACACATATACAAGAGATATATTTAAAGTTAACTCTTGCAAGGACAAAAAACTATACTCTTACATTCGCTAAGCATTCCTTTTCTATTCCTAAGGCCTTTTTCAGGTTCTCTTCGCGTTTCCTTGCTTCACCTAAAGCAGAGATATTTGCAGCTTTATCACGCGTATAAATTATCTCAGCTGACTCAGAAGCAGCTTTGATTTCATTGTATTTAGACTCCAAGTCTTTCTTTTCCAGTAAAATAAGCCCCATATTACATTGGTAATCATAAATCTGAAGAAAAATAAGACAATTGTAACTGAGATTAGAACAAATTCAAAAGAATGGAAGATCCATGTTTATATATTCCGACAAGTAAACTAAACTAATGAAGGAATTATACAGGAGAACTAAGTGTTTTAACCATTAAAAAATATTCTCAAATTTTAGAGCATTAAATAGCATGTGGTAGAATGGTTTTCACTTAGCAGGAAAAACAACAAAGGAAGAATTGTAAAATATGCACTAAGACTAGGTAAAAGTCAGGAAGCATTAAACTAATTACATTGAGCAGAATATTTTCAAATGTAAACACAAATGAAGACTCACATAAGCAAGTTTCTAAGCTAAAACTACAAATGTAAACACAAATGAAGACTCACATAAGCAAGTGTCTAAGCTAAAACCACAACAAGAGAGGAAATGTCCCTATCTAGCTAATCAAGAAAACGACAAATGAACAGTCCATCCAACCTTTGACAAAAATAACCAATGTACAAGAAAATCAAAAATCCTTTTTGACTCCTTGACGCCAAAGAACCAAATGAATGAACAATATCTAAATTCAGGGATGGCTATTTCCATATGATACACGAAAAAAATTATATTCATGTTAGAAAGCAAAAGCAGATACCAGAAATATTTTTTAACAAAACTAACAAATCACGAACCGCCTGTGTGTACTTCACAAAGGTTGGTCCGCGTCATTTAGGCCAAACTAGAGATCCAGATCCATCCTACATCCCAGAATACAAACTTAAGAATTTCGGCCTGCAACTTCTTTCCACCAACATCCCATAGACGACTTCCTGTGCCAACAACTAAAT